AGCTTCCACTACTACAGTTTTTTTTTTTACAAAAAAACACACACCATTTGACGGCACAAATCAGCAAGGCAGCGATGGGACATATGGAGGAGTGGGGGAGAGGCAGGGCCTAGGGGCAGCTTGACCGACCGGGCATTGGGTCTCGGCTTCATTGCAACCCAAGCGCTCCACAAAAGCAAAAGATTACAGAAAATAAATACGCAGGGGGGGGGGGGTAGATAACTGGGGATTACGGGGAAAAGTATGCACAATAATATTAATAAGTAAGTTATCAGAGAGTCAACGAAGGAGGAGGAGGCCAACAGAGTTAGAGCTTTTTTTGTCTTTTTTCTTTGATTCATAGCCTGTCCGTTGCCCACTCCCAGCGGGTAAGGCGCAGGTGGGTGTTGACCTTTTCTTTGAACGTCTGCAGTCCTTTCCTTGTTGGCTGGTTCAGCAGAACGCACTGCGGGAGCTGGTTCCAGACCTCCACAACAGCGTCAGGGAAGGACCGAAGGACATCATTCCGTGCTCTGGGCGGAAGAGTGGAAGTGAGCTGAAACTGGTGTGAGGGATGCTTTTGTGTGCGTCGGCTATGGTGTGATGTGTTGGTCGCTCGGGGTGGAAGAAGGGTGAGAAGCATGTCTGGGCCAGTTGAAAAGTGGAGCTTGTAGAGAAAGCAGAGTGCGCCGACCATTCTGCGGATGTCCAAGCTAGGGAGGTAGGCTCCATCACCGATTAGGTGAAGGCCACGGCGCTGGATGGCAGTGAGGCGAGCCAGAGTGGTGGGTGCAGCGCTCATATACACGAGCATGCCGCGTACTCCAAAACCGGGCGGACGAAGCCCTTGTAGATCACTCCACGGCACCTGGAGTCCAGCACTCGTGAGGCTTTCCGGAGGAAGCCGAGACGCTGCGAGCCTCGAATAGCCAATTGCCTGATATGAGCTGTGAAGGACAGGTGTTGGTCAAACAGCACACCCAGCAGCTTCAGCTGGTCGACTTCCGGAACAACTGTGCCCTGGAATACAATCGGTGGGACGACGACTGTGTTGAGATGGTGAGAAACCAGGAGGGACTGAGACTTTGTAGGTTCAAACCTAATGTGCCAGGCCATTCCCCAGTCTGCCAGCGCATTTACAGCGAGCTGGAGTGTGGTAGCATCTTCGGGTACTAGTACTGTAGTAGTACTACAGTCAGACCTCGCATAACCGCACACATCCGTTTTCCAGAAAAAATGTCCGGATAGGCAAGGGAACCGGATAATCGAACACACATACTGTATGTATGCATGGCATATGCTGTAAATCGGCAACCAACAATTTTCTTCCGGATGGCGAGGGATCCGGATAAAAGAGGACCGGATAAGCGAGGTCTGACTGTACTGTCACTGCTAATGCTAGTACTAGTACAGTACTAGCAAGAGTATGGGGGTTATAATACTCTTGCTACTAGGCGGGTAGATCTACTACTAGTACTAGGCGACTACGGACTAGCACTACGGACTAGCACTACGGACTAGCACTACGACACTAGTGCACTACTGAGTACTGTACTCTGTAGTTTGTGTCACAGACTCAGTGCGTGGATCGTGTGGTCCTTCCACACAGTCCTGCTTTCCGCACCAGGGAGTGGTGATACGAAACTAACTTCGAAAGGGATTTCACGACCACTCCTGCTTTCACTGTAACCAGAAATCGATCGCCGGGTTGATAGCCGGGTTGATCGCCGGGTTGATAGGGCCAACTAGTAATAGGCTATGAGCGCTTGGCTTGGTCTGGGCAAACAGCTCGTTAGCGTTTCTGAATTGCATCGGAGCTTCGAGCTTGGGTATGCAATGCAATGCAGTGCTCTTACAAGGTTAGGGTTAGGGTTAGTAGTCTTCGCTCTTCTCTCCTCCTACCACCCCCACTCCACGTACGTCACAGTCGGATTTCACAAGCAATCCGATACATAGTTGTATCATTGCTTGTGAAATGGGCGTACCCGCTGATCGCACTGTGACTGTTTCGGCACTTCCTAGTAACGGAACACAGTCATGTAAACTGTTCTGATGTTGTTGCAATGACAATGATCATGTACTGTCCTGGACATGGAAATCCGGTCGTACGTCTAGCGGCCCCAGGGCGCTGGCCATGCACTGCAGCCGTGGCGGCGTGAGCAAGCGGTAAGAGCAGACACTATGCGCTGCAGCACTCTGCCTCTGGTAGTGTCGGATCAACATGTGTACTGTGTGCAATGTTCTGTACGCGCTGATGCCAGCAGGGCGCCGGCCCAGGTCATTCGACTGGATTTCCATGTCCTCCACAGTACTAGTAGTTCCTTCCAGTGTACAAGTATGTTGTATTGTAATGCATTGCATGTCGGAGTATGTTGTATTGTATTGCATGTCGAAGTTTCCGGTGAGACAAAACTATGTCTAGCCCTCGCGATTTACGCGATTTCATGCTCAAACACAGCAGTTTAATATTCTAATGAAGCTGTCCTTGATGCAGCTCATCCAAGGCCCTTTCAGGCCTTTTTTCATGCTGTCAAACAGGTAATTTTTGCCCGTAAAATTTAAAAGAGGCTTGACACATGCTTCAAAAAAAAAGAAAAAAGGAGACTAGAGCACACAACTGAACTAGTGGATACCCACACACACACATGCGCAAGCACACAAACACACCAGGGGCGTAGCTGGTCCCCTTGGGGGGGGGGGGGGGGGGGGAGGGGGTGCACGGCCGCATATGTAGGATGTCTGGTACCATGGTGCATGTCATTCATGGTCATTTTGTGAATGCTGATTCTAGGTCGAAGTTTTTTGGGGGGGGGGTGGGGGTGGGGTTTCTACTTGCTCCATGCCGCGGGCTACGCGCCTGGGGGGAGAGAGAGAGAGAGAGAGAGAGAGTGAGAGAGAGAGAGTGAGAGAGAGAGAGTGAGAGAGAGAGAGTGAGCGAGAGAGCGAGAGAGAGTGAGAGAGAGAGAGTGACAGAGAGAGAGAGAGAGAGAGAGAGAGAGAGAGAGAGAGAGAGAGAGAGAGAGAGAGAGAGTGACAGAGAGAGAGACAGAGACAGAGAGAGAGAGAGAGAGAGAGAGAGAGAGAGAGAGAGAGAGAGAGAGAGAGAGAGTGACAGTGAGAGTGAGAGAGATAGAGAGTGAGAGAGAGTGAGAGAGAGATAGAGAGACACACACACGCACGCACACGTCTGTAAAAAACATGCGGCGTTCAATGGCAACGTCTGCGGTTGAGAAGTGGTGTGCGAGCAAGAAAAGTAAGAAGACGCATAGCGCATGAAAGTATATTTGCCACCAACACCACATAATTGATTAGAATGGTCAAGGTAATGATAACGACGAGGTCATTGTCCTGAATTATGAGGTCATTGTCCTGAACTATGAGGTCATTATGCTGAGTGCTGTCAATGCTGTGCAGTATCACTGTAGCACTGTAACAGATCATTATTATTACTATGCACTGCACCTGCTAAGATAAGCCCATAAGTAGAGACAGCTTGAAAATCAGGGAGCCAATGTCATGTTAGCATTGTCGGCACAGGCTGCCTTCCGATTTCACCTCCTTATGTGTATGTGTGTGTGTGTGTGTGTGTGTGTCCCATATGGTGCAGTGGTATGTGCAGCGATTTCCAATCGATAAGTTGCGGGTTCGATTCCCGACGATTATGGTCACACACGTCTTTCTTCTCTTTCTCAGACTCTTCCTGACTTTTCTTTCATTCTCCTGGGTGGTTACCAACAGCCAGTGCATGCCGGAGTATGTGGTGTGATGTGTGTGCGGGAAAAAAATGAAAAGACCAAAAATAGGGATTCACTGGCCAGAAAAATCACTTCAAAGTAGCTGTATGGTGTAGACCAGGCTGAATAGTGACGGTCAATTCTTCAGCCTTGCAAGCTGTTGAATGGTGCAATCCCAGCACAAGTTGCTATGGCTTCTGCCGTAGCATTGCTATCATCGCCTCCGGCGATGGGCGTCAAAGGTCAAAGGTGTGTGTGTGTGTGTGTGTGTGTGTGTGTGTTGCTATGTCTAACATAGCGGTTCGCTATCATCGCTTCCGCGATGGGCAGGTCTGAGGTCTGAGGTGCGTGTGTGTGTGTGTGTAACATTATATATATATGAGCCGTCAGATGTGAATAGGGGGCCAATCGTCATTTTTTGTTGAAATTAAGGTATGCCATTGATGTAATGGATAAAATTTGAATCAAGATTTCACTCTTCTTGAAGCGGCGGTAATTCCACGGCCAGCGATGCACAGTATCTTGTCAATTTGCTCATTCACTCATACTTTGTCAAGGGATTTTGCACACACTCAAAGAGACATGATATTGACCGAGATAAGCAGGATTTGAAAGACGTTGGGCAGGTGTTGCAGCTGTGCAGCAAAGTCATGATCAAGCTATGCAGCTGCGTTTCAGTTCTTCGGAGTTAGTGGACTGCGGAGTTGGTTGATGAGCTCGAGTTCCGGCTCTGATTTCTTGTTCAGTAATTGGGGTAGTGCAATGACACAACCACGGTCTTCGTACCGCTCACAGTAGTCCAGGATGTGGCGAATACACTCCCTCTCGTTTTTCTCCTCATCTCCGTCTCCCTCTTCTTCCACATCTGGCTTTGTCATGTTGAGAAAGTCTGCCAATTCATCTGAGATCTGTCCGTCATTACATGCCGGCGTGCGGCATGGGTTGTTTGGGTTTGTTATGTCAAAGTGGCACAGTGGTTCCTGCACGGCACAGGGCAGAACATATGGAAACAGACAAGACAAACCGTAAGAGAGAGGTTCCGGGGTACGATTTTCTGTGCCAAAAATCTGCATGGGCGCTACGGATTTTTCCAGGCGTGCTTCATACCATTTTTCGGCACGGAGAATCCGTATGGACTGGCTTTCATACGAACCCTGTGTTTGTATGGAGATATTGCGTCATCGAGTGCAGAAAGATTTTTCGCGTACAAGTTTGGTACTAGAAACATCGATTTTTCGCGGGAAGTTTTGATTTCTATACAAATTTTCAAAACGAGAGAGCTTGGAAGTGTAGCGGGCCGCAGTCTCTCTCGGAGGCAAATGCACACGGGTCTCAGTGAACACACTGTAACTGGAAATTGAAATGTAACTATAACTGACAATGAAATTAACTGGCAATGGAATTAACTGACTGGCAACTAAATTAACTAACTTGCAATAAAAGAATCGTGAGCAGCAGCTTTTATACAAAGGCAGACTCCGTACGCTAATGTACGGGGATACGCTAACGTATGGGGATACAGTACGGGGATATGCTAACGTATGGGAATACACTACCGTGCGGGATATGCTATACGCTACACCTCCCCTCTCAAATACAATCACGTCCTCGTGATTAGAATACTAGGTGATAGCTGGACACCAACAACCGGCGGCGATTTTGAAGAAACTGGTGGCATGCATGGTCGCGTCGGAATAAACTCGACGATAGGAGATAGGCAGAATGGATGTCTTGCATATACAGGTATGTAGTCGTGAACATTATAGTAGATCGCAAATTACTGGGAGAGCGTCAACCGGAGTATGGCAAATAATATCGGAAATGATAACGTTTGGAAGAGACAGAAGAATGAACTGATAAACAAATCATAAAGTAGAAGCACACCAGGTTCACACGATTTCACGGGGTCAAAAGGGAAAGAACTGGCCTCCAAATAGGACCTGAAACCACAGCACGCTTGCTGCACAACACTGGCACAACCTGCCAGGAACATCGCAGTTCAAAAACCGAACTGAATACACTATAAGGGGCATTGTCACACACATTGTCCCAGGTTAGCTGGGTAGACCGTGGCTCACCATGATCGGATGCCTACCAAACTAAACTGGATTCACACACTCGCAGAAAGGAAGACTGAAGAGAATAGGAAGACTGAAGGAAGACAGGAAAGAAAATGCCATATCGGGAATTAGCTTACGTTGGGCATGGAGATGAATCGGTAAAGACGCTGTCATCATTTCTGGTTATCAATGGATGTGGCGGGCAGGCGTAGGAGGAGCGGCGGCTGGCGCATCCGGTTGGGTTGGATGTGGCGGGCAGACGTCGGAGGAGCGGCGGCTGGTGCATCCGGTTGGGCCATGCATTCGGTGAAATGGGCATTCTGTCGCGTTGAGTGTCACGTTGTATGACACATAGAATGCCACGACGCATAGAGTACCATGTGAGCATGCACCAAGGCGTGTGACCGACATGGATACCGTGATGTACAGCGCACGTGACTGTAGCCAGCAGCAAAGCATGAGCATGCAGTAAAGCGCCAGCAATCATAGCAGCATAGTTTGAGTGGCAGCACGAAGCAGCCGCATGCACCCATTAATCTGCATTATTACTATAATGCTACATTAACTACAACACACAGCAGCTTGCGGTTAGGAGGGTGCTGGCCAGCGAAGTGAGAGGCTACAGAGAGAGCAGGATCTTGGCGAAGCCAAGAGGATAGTCGCGTCCGAGGGACGAAGACCGAGAGCCCTGAGTAGCCGGAAATGAGCACGGCCCATTGTGGCCAGCAAGCCTCGTACCGAAGCAGCCGTGAGCGAGGTTAAAGTCATAGACACTGTCGGAGCAGGATCTTGGCGGAGCCAAGAGAGAGGTCAGAGAGAGGTCACTGCCGGAGCAGGATCTAGGCGGAGCCAAGAGAGGGGTCTCTGCCGGAGCAGAATCTTGGTGGAGCCAAGAGAGAGGTCAGAGAGAGGTCACTGCCGGAGCAGGATCTTGACGGAGCCAAGCCAGGGGTCACTGCCGGAGCAGGATCTTGGCGGGGTAACCACCAGCCACGGTGGGCCACCGGGTAGTTGAGATGGTGGTGGAGCTGAACGTGTCCGAGAACGTCTTGGAATCGCCGGTGGCAATTGTGCACGTTGCCCCGCTGTAGCCACTGTCACATTAGCAGCCTTGCTAGCGTTCGGCCTTCGACTGCTTGAGTGTGGCAATGATTCATGTCTCGTTGATATGGAGACGAGGCAAGGAAATAGAAAGGCAGATAGACACAGAAACAGACAGACAGGCAGACAAACAGACACAAAACAGACGGACAGACAAACACACAAACAGACAGAGAATTCAGGGTCAGCTGGGTAGACACTGCCGAAGCAGAATACTGGTGGAGCCAAGTATCTACAAGTACAAGAGTCTGCGTCCGAGGAACGGCGACCGAGGGCCCTAAGTAAAGAGAGGGGTCACTGCCGGAGCAGGATCTTGGCAGGGCCAAGAGAGAGGTCGGACAAGAGTAATACGTAGACACTGCCGGAGCAGAATGTTGGCGGAGCCAAGTATCTACGAGGGAGGATTCAGGGTCGGCCGGGTAGACACTGCCGAAGAAGAATGTTGACGGAGCCAAGTATCTACAAGAGTCTGCGTCCGAGGGACGGCGACCGATGGCCCTGAGTAAAGAGAGGGGTCACTGCCGGAGCAGGATCTTGGCAGGGCCAAGAGAGAGAGGTCAGACAAGAGATATACGTAGACACTGCCGGAGCAGAATGTTGGCGGAGCCAAGTATCTACGAGAGAGG